CTTACTGGGATATAACATTATTTTTCGTCAACTGCGTGTTGCCAAAGAAACTGAACGTCAATCGATTTATCGGTTTCATTGAAAGACCAATTTTTGAAATATTTAAATGTTTATTATAGTTAATAAAATTACACATTATTCATTTATACGACGTTTTTCATTGGTTCGTTCCTGTAACACGTTACTCAGAAGTTGAACTATCATTTGGTAGGTTCTAAAAAAAATGAAAAAAGAATTTTAGTTTACAACAACGTATGAAGATATGTGAAACGTCGATGACGTACTAACAGATTGACCATGCTTTCAATAATCCGGACAAATAACTTACAGTTACGTCAGATAAAGCCTGTGAAGCCAGCTGAAAACAAGAGGAATATGACAAAAGTTTTATCACTATATACATTGATCACAAAGTAATAATCGAAGTGCAATATGTATTATTGCTTTGGCTAACGTTTTCTTTGGATCGCCATCCGCGTTTATTAACTTTATCTCTTGCGTCATGCAAGAAAGCCTGGCTTTCTGTACCCATGGCGTGTATCAAATCCTTTTCCAGACAGGTCGCACTTCGGAAATGGGAACAGAGAACACCTATCAATGTGTTAATTCAATAGTGTGTACTTACTTTGAACGGTTGAGTAAAATTCGTACTTACTAATACCAAATTTAATGTGCGTTCCGTGCAAAGTGTAATTGTTGTCCAGTTCCGGCGAAAGCACGTAACTCAGACAAGCTTTCGATGATTTCCGAAGATCGTCACACAGGATCCCGTTTAATCTTCCCACCTAAAATTGGTTCAAATACCTGTAACAACCTACGAAGTAATCCAGGAACTGTACGTTATCTAAAGCAGCTTCAAAAGAACGAAAGTCCACATGCGTTCTTAATGGTAATGCGATAGCTGCAGTGTCTACGGGCTCCGTACGCCTGTCAGTTACACCCATGAATAAGCGTTCGTTGTAAGTGATCAATTTATCAACCTTACGAGAAAGATCACCGACCGCATTCAGCAGCATTTTCAACGTTTTATGGATATCGTCGCCCGACCTTTTGTTATCAGGAATACAGTAAATGCAACTAACGATTTATCAACTTTCGTTGATGTACATGGAATGGGCGGTGATAAAACATCTGTTTTTGATGAACTACTTTATGAGTATAGATTAAATAGGTTTATACTTGGCTATAGGCGAAAATCTTCCTGTCAAAATGTTTACAACAACATTTGCGTTGAAAGTCGCATGTAGTGTGCTCTCTACATGAGTTGAGTGCTTCATTTATGGATGCTATAATAGATTGATCCATTCTATTAAGTCGCTTAATAGCTAGTTCCTTCCATAATGAAATTAATTTTTTAGTGATACCTAAGTAAATCATATGCATGGGTTCAGAAGGGAAACATTTGATCATATCCAATGGCAGAGTTTCAAATGAACTTCCACCACGATGATGAGTAGATTGTGACCTACTACGAAAAGTGGCATCATTTCTCAATTGTGTTCACCATTGGGGAAAGTCATCCGACCACCCATTCGTATCCCTGAAACATGACATTTGTCACAGCCAGCAGTACCGTTGTGTCCAACAACATACCGAAAGTTAATGCGAGCCGGAGCATTATAAATAACAGCAGCCAATTTAACTGTTAAATGTACCTGATACTTATCTACATTTAGACCTACTGTCAGCAACTCTTGCAACTCAGTGATAAGTGCTGCTGACATGTCGTTGAAATCATATGGTTTCACTTCACCCCCATATAAGCCAACTATAAGTACATTACTAACTATTAAACCCGCTATGCGGCCTAGTATCGACCACAGCTGTTGGTTAGAGCTTTTAAACAAGCTTAGACCATCGTAGTTCAACTGCAGCTTCAGTTCTGTAAAACAGAATTTACGTAGCCAAGTTTCCGTAATCCTCAGCAGACTTGATTTCAACCCCGAATGATAATAAGTCCCCATTCCGAGAATCTTAGGCTCCACGTCGTCGCATCTACGTAGAACACTTCGGACGGATGTCGGTGGTTCAGGTATGCGCACGCGAATGACGTCCAGAATTTCGTCTGCCTTCTTCACTGTTATATCACCACCTTTCATGATGCCTATGACAATTCGGTCTACCTCTTCTTTCATTGAAAGATGACTGGGTGGAGACATTTCTGAAATCACACCACCTATACATAGTTCATTAAGGAAGATACACTACCATCGGTTGTACTGCCAACACACTGTACATGACTACATGAAGCAGTGGCTGTTTCTGAGACAATACTGTTACACTGCTCTGCAGCTACCGTTGTACCAACTCCTGTGATGACAGCTGCATTGTTGTCATCTTCGTCACTGCTGCTTAACTGATAATTTCTTATGAATTCATCTCTCAACTTGCGCAACCTTCTGTAATCAGTTGATCTGGGACAGCCCAGCAACCTTAAGTCTCTGGCAGCTTGAGCCCTTCTTTTAGCAATATTATCAAGCTGTAATTTATTTTCCTGAAAGAGACAATTTACTTAAGTAAGACTGAAGAACTACAGTAATCGTAGTTTCGGATAATGCTAAGAACTCACTTGCATGACGTTCGAATTTTGAAAAAATAGTTTAGAGACGACAATGCATTGTCTCATGTCCGTTTGACGTATTAAAACAAAGGATGAAAGTCGATAGACTATTCCTGAGCAAAAGTCTTTATTGTATCAAAATTAACTAATTTTAATTGTAATTTAATGCTTTAACGTTTAATAATCGATTGCTTAGGAAATGTTATTCTGGAATGATGCGCTACACATGAATTCGGTAATTTCCCCAAAGACTGGGGATTTCACCAAAATTTCCCCAAACTTTGAGGAAGGCTGTTTCCCTTTGGGGATTTCCCCAAAATTTCTCCAAAGTTGGGAGCTTGGGTGCTGAATGCTTGATTTGGAATTTCAAATACAGTACATTCGTTAGTGCTTGTATAGTACTTCTTAATTCAATTGCGTTATTTCTGGGATTCTTAGTTAGAGCTATGATTCAAATACTCCTAATCATCACAAATAATTTCAGCTCTTCAAGGTCATGTGAACTAATGGAGACTGATTAGGCAAGGGAGTGACTTTTAACTTGCGCTTTATTTTGCTTGTACTCATTATGTCGGTAGGCAGCAACATATTAACACAGTGGTAGTCTGGGGACGTTCTCGCCATTTTATCTCCTGTATCCGCTAGATCATCAAGGTCGATTCATCTTCTTTACACACTTCGGATCTAATGTAGGCTATACGGCAAACAATGCACCCCCTTGGTTACTATACTTTCTCTTCTGAGTTGTAAGATCTAACCAATTGTTTCATATATGGTGAAGGTTGTGACACTATGTTGTCTTCAAGATCATACGCAGTTAATGGTAGTAATATTCTCTTCTCATTCGGGACTGGCGTGTGTTAAATGACTGTTGATTTAAATTCACCACATGAGCGTCATCATTTAGTTAGCTAATTAAATCCCCATTTTTTGCAGCCATTCCATTTGGAAGTTCATCTGCGACATACGCTTATGTGATCGCTTGAGAGCGGATTCTTCGTGCCGAAAACTGAGCTTATATTTGGGCAAACTAGACCCGTGGGTTGCTTACCGAACATTTTGGAAGTCTGAACGCGAAAATGCCATTTATAGTGGTTACTTTCCCTTTAGATATCTAGAGTAAATCGGAAGAAAAATGACAAAAATTAATTACAAAACTGATGTAATAGTAAAAATGTTCAAAATAAATAGTTTTGTGAGTTTTTGATATTGATGCTGACCTCGTTAATTTTACTAGACACAGCTAGCTGAAGGCGTTCGGTCACGCATAAGCACCAGATCACGAGTACACAGAGCTTCGCATCCCTTACCACTGTCAACTAACTTAAATTAAACGCCTCTCGGCATAACGATAGACTTCCAAATATATCTTCAAGCCTCTTTATTTCCGACTTATGTTTTGACTAAGTCAGTGTACTTCCATTTTAAAGGTATTGTGGGCAAAATCGTTGTAAAACTCCGAATACTTGTGACATATTTACAAGTTAATGTAAACCATCTCCATATTTTGTTAAAAAGTGAGAAAACGACTTCATATAAGTTCGTCCTCATAGATACGCTTTCTGTCCTCTCTAGCTTTATTAATGACTCGAACGCAATTCTAAGTTTCTTCATACTGTTCCGAGTCAAGGTTATGTATTCAAAGTAGGGGTAAGTAGTTCAGGATTGCTGTTTCTCTCATGAACGGGCATCAGATACGACGTAAATGTGCTCTTCAACCACACGGACAGATGAATTTCTCAAAAAGTGCATTAGGAATTGTTCGACTAGCTCTTGCTTATAATTTTAATGAATCCAGGCCACAGGTGTTTATGAGAATTGGTGTATTGGGTCGATTTACCTGTTATATGCAATCTACAGTGACGGAATTGAGTATTTGATGGTTTTAACACTATCATTCTATCCTACGTTTGCAAAGGTGACTTGACGTCAACATTTTACGCGTCTTCAGAAGCAAAAAACAGTGCTTCCGAAACATGTTAAACGTGACATTTAGATCTACGCGCAAGCTGGAAGTAATGAATCTCATTCTGACTGGGTCTTCCGATTGTATTTAAAGCTGTAACCGTATTTATACACAAACAGTGTACAAAGTAATGGTCATGATATACAAGAAAAGAAGAAACCACATACATTCGAACGTCACAAAAATATAGGTTGATGCCTCTCATACTCTAGTGAAGCAGTGAGCTATCTAGTCCCTCAGAGATTGCACTTCTAAAACCTAAGTTTAGTATGATCGGCTTAATAAAACAAGTTGAGCTATAACTTTCACGATTGAAATTGTATTGCAGCGCTACTTCCCGTTGGTGAGGCGGATTGTTTGGAGTTTACAATTGAATGTATTCTTGGTAAGGGCTTGGGTTGTTGCAGGTATTGGGTTTGTTTTTGGCTGTTGCCTGGCCACTTATCAAATTGACAATCCTCCCTGCGTTTTCAAATGGGTGAACGTAAGTCTGATGGTCAATACGAGTCTAAGAGCTCTCGAGTCCATTATACTCGAGTAAGTGTATTCGACAAAATAATGTTACACGCTATTAGGAAGAAATCCTAGCAGTTAAAGAAAATGCGGTTTCTACGGCCGAATTTTCGGACGAATTCTCTCGGATAAATGCTTCTGTTATGCGTTCAACTCGCGGAAGGGCTAGACCCAATTCTTTTTCTAAAACTCAGGGGGGCGGTACGTTAAGTAAATTCATTAATAAACGGTTTGTACAGAGAAGACTCGAGATGCTTCCAACATAGTCCTCGGTCCTCAAAAACGTTCGTGGAACACTGGTTGTCATGTCTCTCAACAGCCTCAAGGTCGTGAAACGTCAGATGCGAATAGTTCTACTCGTTGGCCTAAATTTAACTCAGAAAGCCGATCATACGACAAGCAGCATTGTAAAGCGACTGGTGAATACAAAAGAGAGTATCGATCCAACGATATCCGTGGCTCCGGTCGAGGTCGTGATCGCGGTTCGGGAAGACATGCTGAAGGTGTTCCGTTTGTTAAAAACCACTGCAGAGAAGACCGTTACAGTCATGATCGTCGACTTTCTTGTTCTCACAGCGACGATGAACCTGAGTGGTTTGCAGAAGGTCCTACCACGGTTAACGAAACGATTGAACTTGGAGGAATTTTAGAAGAAACCGTAGAATGTGGCTCACCCAGAAAGTGCGTAGGAGTGGAAAATGATCTTTCGCAAGTTGATGATAGTATATTGACAAATTCAAGCACTAGTACTAAAAACATCTTTGATGACAAGGTTTTGGAGGACGAAATCCATGCATTCCCTGAACAATCAAGCAAATCCACAACTAGTGTCGTAGACCACGTAACGTCCGATAATCAAGGAAGCCGTTTCAAACACCTGTTTCAAAAGAATGAGATATCAGATGAAAATAAGCTTCCGAACAAACCCGCTTCTTTAGACAATATCAACGAACAGTTACTTAGGTTGCTGAAAGGTTCGTGCGGAAATTACTCCAGTCATCTCAGTCCCGAAAAGAACAGTGGTATGGTATCTACAAATCTTAATTCTTTTGCAGCTCTTCAAGTTGAAAATAAGCTTCGCTCGATTCTACTTGGACATGGCCCTGTTTATCCCCCAAAAGTTGGGCCGGTCAAAGGTGAGTGCACTCTAATAATCATATAACTTAATTATTTAGAATCAAAACCAGCAGTACTAACTGTTGAAGAAATTGAAGCTCAGCTTAAATTACCTCAGGGAGATTCAACTGATATAAACGAATCAATCGACCCAGTTGTTGATTCTCTTACTCATCATTCGGATCCTTTCATAGATGATCAAGCCATTAAATCTCGTGGCATACCTATTGGCTCGTCAAAAAACTGTAGCTTGTTTTCTCAGTCAGGAACAACTTCCAACCTGGTGCCTATTTTGCAATCGCTGGTGATCAGAAAACAGCAAAAATCCGTCTACTCTCAGTCTACAAATCCGCAAAATTCACACTCACCATTTGGACTGGTCCCAAATTTTATGGTATGCAGTCTTTTCTGTGGACATTAACTATCGATAAATTCTCACATGTTTACCATTTTCTTATTGGCTCAATACAATGGTTTGCTTTTGTTTTTCTTATAGTTTGGTACTACTATTGAAGTAGCTACTATGAAATTGATCATCTTATGCTAATGAGGTGTGGCAACTTGGATATATGTGCCTGGTCCTACATTGTGACTGGCTGATTAACTAAACTTGGTATAACAATTTCATTTCCTCATCTAACTAACTTTTCTTTCTTTTAGGGAGATGCCACGTCTGCAGGTTCATATATTAGTCGATTGCAAAACCCAGGTGTCCCCCTTGATGTACCTTGTGATGTCGATCTACCTTCTCATGGTATAGTGATTTTCCTAAAATTACTTTTTAGGTTCCCTTCGTCAAATTTGGAATGGTACAAGAGATGTTGCTGTTCACCCAAGCCCACAACTGCACCCCTTAGGTAATAACAGCAGTTTTACTGAATCAAAGTTTAGGTTTGTATCCTGATGCATCTAGACTTCAAACTATTAAAACTCCGGACTCAGGATTACCTGGAAGGCCTATAGTTAAGGCTCAACAAAATGTTCTCTCTGATTACAACTCAAATGGACAGGCACCAAACTCCACTTTTAATAATACTCAGAGCCATTTGTCTGTCAATCCATCAGTTCACCAAGGTAGGTAATGCCGTTTCTGCGTGTTTATGTAGGTGTGAAGGTTAGTTGTGTCTAAGATTACTTATCCTCCTACATATGATACAATCTTAGTGACTACAGTGTAAAATGCAATTTCTTTGGCTCCATTTTGTTATATTTCTTTCCAGAACCATACAAGCTGATTACTTAGATTTATTTTTCTAGTTCACCTATACATTTTGAATCCATATAACTCAATGATTCCTTTTTGTTGAAAGTTTGACTTATTTGAACTGACATTGCTCACCTTGCATTTTGTTCATCTCATTTAATTTTACCAAATGGCAAACTTGTCTTTCGAAGCATTAAACTAAGATCGATACCTGAGTAATTCTTATTATAATGCCTTTTCATAATCATAGCCATACTACTTCTCGAACATGAATACTACAATAGTAAGCCATTTCTCGTAAGCATTCTGTCCTGTTCGCTTGTCATTTGCTTCCCCATCAGCATCCTCTTGAAGTTTTATCATTTTGCTTCATATCTTGCGCCTAGCTTCAGTCCTGTTTACTCGGCGGTTCTAGAATTCTCTAGCAATGCTTCATAGTTACTTTTAATCAAGTAGTAGCAACCGGATATTTGTTTTTTAAGGCCAGGTTCCACAACTATAACGCTAAGACAAAAGCAGTTGCTGTTCAGCTTACTCGTTCTTGTTTTGCAAACAGACATCTTACCTACACCACGGGTGACTCATGCTGACAAGAGTCAAGTGAGTCTTCCGAATCCGTGCCGGTATGCCGTCAAATACCAACTAAACAGGACTGGTGAGACTTCTGGGACAGATGGTTAGCACGCTGAACTACTTCACTTCAATGAAAAGGGCAAATGCTGTCAATTCTGACGAATAGCACTTAAAGTCGAATAATTTAATAATTGTTCCTCACATATTTGTGCTTAACCAACATCACTGAAGTAGTGAGTCTTCGTCTGTGTTCCAAAATGTGAAAGTCAATATCTGATTTGAACATCGACGTCCAAATGTGAAACCTGTTAGATTTGCTGTTTACAAACCTTAGTTCGGTGTTGGTTAATTATTGAAGATAATATCCTAGGCGCTATGTTAGTCAAACTAATTCTTATTCAGCTATCACAAGAGAACTTCCATCCTTGCTTACACTTTGGGACGAGGTGGATTAGATTATGTCCATTTCCCAGACTACCTGGTGTTTCAGTTTGTCGAACTGGTTAACCTAAATAGTTAACCTAAAATAGTTTAACGCATCATGACCCACTACAATCCCTCTCTTTAAATTAACTTTAACCTTGTCAACTTAAACCTACCATTCTCCAATTATGCCCTCAATATAAATGAGTTGCATAATTATTATAACTTAGACCCAAGTTGTAATTGACAATTGCTTCATCCAGGTAACATGACATTTTGGAGAGTGTTTCAAACGACTCTAGATTTTAATGTTGGGATCGGAAATTTGTGGTGTTATTTCTAACTAATGATGTTTAACCCCTCTCATCTGTGTAAAATAAATTGGTAGATATGCTAGTTTTCTACATTAAACACAGTTGCTACCAACGTCCTTGTAAAGTCTGTAGTACGATTTCAACCTTGAACCGAGAAGTGAGTAGTCACTGTAAAGACATATCCATACTCTGATCTGATCGTTGACATATTGCATACAATGAATCTAGGTGAGTTATACTGCGTTAAAACAAAATTAACTCTTGATTTACTGCAGTTAATTCATGTTTTATGAGTATTTTTAACTTTTTGTAATTATTATCTTCAGACTCTAGCCATCGTCTGCTTGATATGAATGTGAAGCAGTTTTACCTTGGCAGTACTGAGTCCTCAAATCCAAATAATTCTCATGGATCTTTACCTTGTTCAAAACAAAACTATGGAAATTTATTCCCGTTCCAACGCTCAAGCCCATCACTGGCGTCATCTATTAATTGGAATAAGAATTCTGCCCAACACCAAGCCAAAGTTAATGAATCTCTAACTAGTAATGGAAGTTTGACTTTGTTGTCACAACTAGTTGAGTGGGAAAAATTAAAACAACCACTTAGATCTAATCCATCCTTTAATCGAACGAAGGCGAAAACGCTGGAAGAAATAGAACAAGCAGAGTCTTCCAGAAATAATATATTCTTTTGAATTCGCAAAACTCGTGTACCTAGATTAGAGACTCCCGGAAATTTCGTCGGGTCAATTTCATTCCTTACCAGATCTTGTAAATTTATTTTCTATATGAGATCTGTGTAGTTTTCGCATGTGCGGAAACAGTGTACATAGTTTAATTTTCTTCATAAGATTGCGATATACTTGTTTGACTATTTAATTCTGTCAATACTTTTCTGTGAATATTTCCCCTTATACTGGAAATCCAGTAACAGATCCTTTTTGGTTTCCTAAAATTGCACTTCACATGTGCTTAGTTTATTCTCATTTGCCTTATTTTGTTGAACAACCACAGTTTATGCATTTCTTTCTGACAGTTTCGTGTTTTGTCGTTACTAAAGTTTGAAAATAAAGAAAATAATTTTTGGATACGTGTGTGTCTACAAAAACATTTGTCCCAATAAATAGAAGTTAAGCCAGGAATTTTTTCGTAGTTGAGATATCTATTAAACTTAGTCGTCAATGTGATTGTGCGATATGAACTGAAGCTCATTTATTTATTTATTTTAACACATAGGTGTTGGTACAGGGAGGCACCAAATACATATGCGCCACACAAATCTCAATTGATTTGTGTGAGGGCTGTGATACTGCCCGGGTGCCCAAACCAAAGCAGGTGGTTTTCTTAGGGGGCCACACCCCGAGCCTTTGACCTGAAGATCTGATCCACAAGGCAGTGGAGCATCGTGAGGAGATGCAGTCCCATGGTAGCCGGTGACCAACAATTGGTTCATACGCCATTTGTTCCCTCAGGATACTGGAGCCCATGTGTGCCGTTGGTTTGGGATCCGGTTAAAGCGGCGGAAATTCGCTTTTCGTCCTCTCATTTTCGTAAACAACAGTAATGCTACAAGAAGGCAGTGAGTAGGACTTCCCTGGCAGAGGCTATATACTCGTGGCCATGTGAGAGCATTTCGAGAGGGAGAAAGGACTCTCCACTCGGCCGTACCAGGGCATCTGGGGGCAGAAGCTCATAATTGTTACTAGAATAGATCTAGTTGAACGTAGCGAAATACTGGAAATGAACTAACTGGTAAGTGAGGTCTATCGACAAATGTTTAGGACGCACTACAAGTTTTGTAAATAACATTCAAGTATAAAGTACTTCGTGTTTCGATAAATTTAAATTATTAGATTAAATATTTGTGTCAGTTTCCGAAATATGGGGTTGTTTAACTGAGTACCTAGATATATTCATCATTTATGGTGGTCTTGAATCATGTACAAGGATCAATTGACATTTTAATATTGGAAAGTAAACTTACTTTAGTCTAACGATCCTACTGGCTTGTGCTATCCGTGACATCACACCTAAACTGTACATCAGTTATTTTAGAGGGGAGTATTCGTTAGTGATGAGTTAGGATAAAAAAGGAATGGGTGTAGGATTTACTGTCGAAATAAAAGTAGTGAGCTTACGTAATAGCGGACAATATACATGTACCAAGGATTTCTGTACAAAATTTTTAGCTTGTAACATTCAATTTATTTGTATTAGTATGATTACATTGGAAGCTACGTCGACATTTTACTAGAAGAGAATCAGGGTGATAGGTTCTGACTTCACATTGATATACAACATAATGGCAACGAGGAATTTTGTTTAATTTTGAAATAGTCTGATGTAAATGTAAGTTTTTGGTATGTCGTCTGCTAACACTTTCCTGAAAAAGTTATTTTGGAGAGTTGTTTTAAATTCATTATTAGGCGTCACATAAAACTATGATTTCATTCCAAATAGACAAAGGTGTCGATTTTTAAAAAGTATGTTAGCAAATCTAGAAGATCCTCTGTTAGAAAAAGTTAATAAACAATGAAAGTCCTATTATCTATCGCTTATGGATTTAAAAGTGCATATTACTTAGTAGTTTCTGAGTCCGAATAAAACAAATGTACAATCATTTTTCTATTTTAAAATGGTTTCCTAACTAGTTATATAAATTTATCTATCCATGAGCCACATGATGAGAACTGTTCGTTTTTCTTCTGTCTACAAAAATGTAAGATATTTTATGTAGTCCACAGTGTAACTATGATCACATTTCAGATTAAAATTGATATCCATTAATTTCTGATTTCTAGTGAAATCTGTTCATGGTCTTTTTCATTCATTCCATCTTCATAAGTTTTCGTTTGTTCTCGGCGTATGAATAAAACCAGTACGCTAGCTGTAAGTCGTAAGATTCACTAAACTGGATTTGTCACATCAACCAATTAGTACTACACAAATAAAATTTCTGAAAGTTCATATATTTAAATTTTAATAAACCTAACCATTTCGTCGAACCTAGACTTATCGACAAACTGCTATATATCCCAGCTCTTTTTCGTAATATTTATTACAAATATTTCTATTTGTCGAAGTTAATTCAAACATCCATGAGTAGTAAGTAATCTGTTAGAATAGTGTTGAATAAATTGAATTTCGTGTTCTGTAATATATATATGGCTTAGTGGTTAAAGCTTTTAAGAAGACAAACGGTTCAGTAGCTAGTACGGAAACATTTTTCATTAGAAAAGTCATGTGTCTAGTGATAATAATACCGTACAACATCTTAGATCATGACTAAACTAAGTAAGAAACATCAATCAAATTGAATGAAATATGGTGAAAAGATAAAATTTCTATAAAATAATGGGAGCATTCGTTAAAAAAATGTTAAATTAGTAAAGCGATGTTCGTTAATCTATTAGCCACATTTGTATAAAAAAGAAATTTGGTTTCAAACGACGTGTTTGTGTTAAAAGTGGAAGGGCAGAAGCTGTTATTATACAGATATCTACTTAATAAAGTAGTTTAACTATAAGTGAGATCATGTTAACTTCACTTATTGTGATATTTCATTTCAGTATTATTGTTTTTCTCAAACACGTCCATATTAAAATTTTACACTCAGTATCTCAGAACTGTATATGGATTTGATAATCGCCAACCATGACATCCGATTAATATAACATATACAGCAGATTAAATTATGTACTCCTAGTTTAAATTAATCCTATCGATTCTCTTTGGAAATATTAAAACCATTCTGTAAATTGCATATAAATATCCTCTTAAGTTTAACGGAATGCATAATCTTTAAGGTGAGCTCGTGAAACAGAGTAGGTCATTGTAAAATAATAAGATGAAGTATTATCGATGTTTTCTTCTAATTCTTAGATAGGCAATAGAACGTTTTTCGGTTTCAAAAATTTACGGTGTGTTCAGGAGCTGGCTATACATCTGACCATTCTTCTTGTTCTCAGTTTATTGTGTTGATTATCTTTTACAGAGAAAACGTAAGTTTACTAATTTCTTCATTTTCACAAGACCATCATTTGTTTGAAACAAATATTGTTTTCCAAATAACCATATTAGAAATCCTTTTAGGAATTATGCTAGTTCAATAATGAATCCTCATGAGGTATAAGTATGATATTGTATTGATTCAAGTTAAAATTTAAATTGACAGTTAACCTTAATTGATTCCAGAGCTAGAGTGGTAAATCTTGATTTACTATCCCAAATAGGTAATGACAAAACTTTTAATTGCCGGTATATTATTTTAAACAATCATTCTCTTAAAAAAAATATATCTGGAACAGGTCATAAGACTGAATTAAATCCAGTCATTTTAGTTTGATACAGGAGTGATCTAGAGGGTGTATTTAAATTTGTTAAGCTATTAATCATACGAAAATTCGGATCCTCTTGTGCATTGAAATGACATTTTATACTTACATTAAACTTACTCTGCTATTATTGATTTCGACAAGTGTGATATGATTGATGATTTTTTCTTACTATCCTTGTTTTTTGTTTGTCTTCATTTGTTTAGCATGACCTTTCTAATTTGTGTAAAAATATTTTAATATGTGGTCAGAATATGTCATGAGCTAATGTTGTAAAGTGATTTTGTTAAGTTTTATTTGCTCGGGACAATGTTCAAAATTCATATCAAATCAATGTTATGTAATACTTCTTAAATAAGATGCCCTATACAAACAGGAAAAGTGTAATGTACATTGTTTAGTATCATGTCATTAATTTATGCTAAATAAAAAGGCTTTTGGTTGAAACACATTTTAAATAAAGAGGGAAAATACATATTATTAAGCAGGTCTTCTCCAGATAACGGGATGCATCATATATTGTACCTTAAGAACGAATAGAGCCAAATACAGTAATGGTCGAAAGGGACAGTATACTTAACCTTAGCCAGCATTATATACCGCTCAAACTTTAAGCAGATAGAAGCGATATTCGGTATTTCATAGTTTAGTTATGTAAATTATCAAATAATATCATGTAGAATGAGGTTAAACATGAAGTGTATGTCGAAATGAACCAAACTTCTAAAATTCTAATTTTTTTGTTGATAATTAAACCTTTGATACTGAAGTATATGACCTGAACATATCATTTAAAAATTTTCTTGTTAGTGGAGTAAATATATCGACGTCACTTAATAATAATTACAACTTAGATACGTTAACAATTAACTAAAAGAAATATCTATGATTGGGACCATGAGTAACGGAAGCATATAACAGAGGAAATATTCACTCATAGTTACAACACAACTAGGTCATGATTTTCAAACCTGAAGGAAAATTTTCTAACCCATTCACTTCAAACCTTTAAAAAGTAATACACTATGATGTTCTTTTAATTAATCTAGCGGGAACATTGCATTCTTTGATTGATTAGGATTTATAATCTCCCTACAATACCACTTATTTAAAGAGCGATTTCATATTCACATTTATATTGAATTTTCTCAACACATAAATGGGATTTACACCTATTATAAAGTCTCATAGATGAATAACTGTATC